CTAACAAAATAAGGAGAAAACTATAAATTAAACAATAAAAGAGAAAAATTAAAAAAAAAATACAGGATAAAAAATAAAAATATTTTAAAAAACTAAAAAAGGAAGTGTACTTATAATAAAAAAGATGGTGTATATATGTGAGCCCTCATTGTTGACAGGAGCCCAAAATGCATGCTACCCACTATCTATAAAGAGTGGAATGGAAAAATAAAGCCCAATCTAAATATGAATTTGTCTTTTATTTTTTATTGGGTTTTCACCTTTAACTAAAATACAAACAATAACAACAAATCTTTTTTAAAAGAGTTTAATTAGAAGCAGTATACTATTTTCATGCGAAATGTATAAATATTTATTTTATATAATTAAAATTTATAATAAATAAAAATCTTTAAATATTTTTTTTATAGACATAATTATACAGTATTTCAAAACTCATAATCAAAGACATATCCTTAAATATATAAACAATTATACTGTGATACAAGATTTTTTTATCTATTAATAATTTATTTTAAAAATATTAAAATTTAATATAAAAATGTAAAATGAAAAGAACAGATGAGGTTCAACAAAAATATTTTAAAATGTTCCTTTCCAAGAAAACTAATAATACTCTCGTTTAAAAAAATTATTTTAATATATATATATATATATATAACAATGTATTATATTATCATTTAATTATAAATTATCATATGATAAATTTTATAATAAATATTTTCAATGTCATATAGGAGATGGTTTTTAATTAATTGAGGTGTAAAAATTTTGTCAAAATGTATAAAAATTAAATTCTTATTGAAGTATTAATATTATTATTAAATAAAATTATGTGATATTTATGAAACTATGTGACGCTTATTTTTTTATTTAATGAACCTTACATAATTTTTATTTAAAAGTTGTATTGAAAATATGTGGTATTTTGTTTATAATATCATATATTATATGTGCGAAATTGTTCAACAGGTAAATAAATAATTGAGGTTTTTATTTATGTAGGTAAAATTTATTTTAATAATCTTTATGTCAGTATCAACTTCGATTAATTTTTATCGATATTTTTAGTTGATTTTATTTCTTAAATTATTTTTTTTTACTTTGTTTAAAAAGTTTAAATTTATTATGATTATAATGATTCTAATAGTATTATGATTATAATAAATTTTAACCAGTGACAAACAACATTTTAGTATGATTCTTCATATTTTAAAAACATTATTATAAAATCAGCATTCAAGTCTGATAATTCATTCTGGGTACCATAGCAAGTCTAGGTTTTGAAAAGAAAAAAAATTCATTGAAACTTTACAGCATGCACATAACACATTCATTATTGTTCCTATAGAACTTTCCAGTTGGTGTTCTCTCTTTAATTTTCTTCCCAAACAATAAATTTTTTCCGCAACTCTATCATCGCCCGTGACGCATAGACACTCGCGCAGACATGAAACAAAAAAAATGCTTTGTACAGAGTACACATGTTTTGAACAGCGTGTGACACAAGCATCCAACACGCACGCAACCATTTCCTCAGTAGTGTCTATGATGCACAAGTTATGGCCAACATTAATTTCTTATCATTAATAACCTCTATGCAATACCATAATTCATCATGTTAATTTAATTCTTCACCTAGACCTCCTCGTCCTTTAGTCAAGTTTCCTAACGTTATTAATATACCTATACAAGTGGTGGTACCTTTAGCATTTAGCAAATAAATTCGACACAATGTAATGTCATCCAACATGTTTGAATAAATTTATTCATAAAATAAAAAATTAGTTCATAGAAAAAAAAATTTATTTTAAAGTTAAAATGTTTACATAAATTTAAAAAATATTTTGAAATATGACAATTTCTATACATTAAATTATGTATTTATTTATTTTAATTTTAAAAAATTATTTTATTTTTTCTTCTTATTTTCTTCTCCTATAATAGACAATGTTTTTCAAATCAAATTATTAAATCAGTCAAGACACTGATCCAAAGTTTAATGATTTAATTATAGTTAAATCATAGTTGAATCGGTATTAATAAAATAATAATAATATTTAAATAATTAATACATAAAATAATAATTTTATAAAACTAAACTCAAAATAAACTATCATTTTATATATTTTTATTTTTTAAAGTGCATGTAAAAGTTTAAATATAATATTTAAGTTAAAATTATAATAAAATATAATAATATATATTAACAATTTTATGTTTATAGAGTAGAAAAATCTTAAATTAGTATAATATAAAATATCATAATATAAAAATTTAAATTAATATAAATGACTAAATAATATCTTTATAAAAAAATTATTGAAAATAATAAATAACATAATTTATTCTAATTTATAATTTTTTATTGAATATACTTAGTTATTTATCATAAAAATATTTTTTAAAGTTTTAAAAGAAAAAATTTCTTTTTTAAAAAGACTAGTTCAATCTGATTTTTTAAATTGATTTTTATTGATTTTGAGTCACTTCATCCCATTTTTGGTCAAATTCTTTTACACATAAATTTTTTGTTCTTTCAAATCGATAACCTAATCGAATTTTTATATGATCAATTGAATCAATCTATTCTAACACCACAAATAATAAAGACCATGATATTGATATCTCAAGAGAGCTGATTTGAGGAAATCTAACGTAGGAGGCAGATAGTAAACGAGATTCTGTAATGGCAAAAGCATTCGGAAGAAAAAAAATATACAATTGCAAAAGCCATTGTCATTTATTGGCTAAAACTTATTAAAATTATTATTAAGATACAATTTATGTGAGTTTTACTCCCTATATAGTGAATTTCAGTTATTATTTTATGATTTTTAAGTAAGTTTAATCAATAAAAACATATTTGAAAGAACATGCAAAGGCATACATCTAATAACAAGTAACGGATCCTATCTAAGTACATTAAATTAACTTGTACTTATCATGCCACATTTCTAGTAATAGAAAATCTGTCATTTTACTGTTTTATCTACAATAAACCAGCCTAAAGCTTTTTACAAGTACTTATAAAGTATAAACTTACACTTATCAGTAAATTTTAACTATATTTCATAACAGAAGTTTGTTATAAACATACCAAAACATCATTGTTTTGGAAACAAGTTTTCAGAAAACAGTCTCAAATTATAGGACAATTATTTCAATCACCGTACACATTTAATTCACACTTTACCTTGGTGTTTTGGTTACATGATTGATTGTTCTCAAATTAGTTACTAAAAACTTCCACTCTTGGTAATTAACAATTCCAACCCCACTGATGCATTAGGCGTGTTGCATCAAGATCTCTGGTTATTCTTCAACTTTTACTTAATTCCTCAACCCAAAATCCTCAAACCCACAAGATCATAACTAAGTTTCATCTATGGACAATCTTCTAGTGTTCAAATTTTATGCACCATATTTTTAATATATAGAAATTATTAAAATATAATATTATTAATTTTTTTTCAGATGCATCTATTTGATTTTAGTATAACTAAATTTGATCTCTTTAAATAAAATTTGAATTCAAATTTTGTGAATGTAAAAACATAATTGGGACACAAGACGTGACGAACATAGTTACCCAAAATATATACTATCATCACTCAGAAATTTTGATGGGTTCACACTGTCACAATTGGCATTCCCAATAACTAATCTTACACCAACTATAACAAAATTGTGTGCAAATATCCGAGGAACAGATTAGATACTACCTAATGTAAAAGAAAAATTGATAATTGAATGAATTTGATATCTAATAATGGTGAATCAACCACCCAACAAAATAATAAAAGCACCTCTGCAGCGCCAGTTCTAAGACGTATTTCTACAGTAGCATGGACCATGACAAATAAATTTAAATAAACAATAACTAACTATAATTAATATGATTAAGACGAACTAGAATTAGAAGCTTATTTCAATTCCAACTGCGTTTATAAGAATTAGACTCGAAAATAGATGAATCCAAAATTATGGTCAATGCAATTAGAAATACAACAACCTCTTCGCTACCTCCAATTATCATAGAAATTATAGAATTATGGGTGAACGATGTGTACAACTATCCACAACACGAGTTGCATCCATTAAACTAATATCTAATTATTTGATTGACAATTACTAATCATCTTTATTGAAATTTTGTCTCCTAATCACCTTTTTTTATATCTCCAAAATTTAACTTGTAACTTTATTTAAAGAGATCAAATTTAATATTATTCAAATCAACAATAATTACTAATCATTTTTATTGAAATTTCATCTCTTAATCACTTTTTTTTATATTTCCAAAATTCAATTTATAACTTTATTTAAAGAGATCGAATTCAATACTATTCTAATCGACGGTATTTTAGTGATCAGAGTTACATTTGTCACAAGGAATATGATTACTTTCCATCAATGCCTAACAACTAACAACTTTTTTCTATAGTTTCAAGCTCAACAATTTCAGAAAAGACAAAATAAAGGACCATTTATTTATTGTTTCAACTTTCAACTGATGTAGCTAACTCGTTTTTCCAGTTTTGGCATCAATCAGCCTCGTTTCATAATCACAATTCAATCATTTGACAATACAGGAGTAGAAAATATATTATGGTCGAAAGTTAGATTTGCAACAAGTAATAAATGAAATGGTTATCAGGCTATATACTCTACTTTCCAGGGTAGGGAAAGCCCAAAAAACATGGTAGTCTAATCGACGGTATTTTAGTGATCAGAGTTACATTTGTCACAAGGAATATGATTACTTTCCATCAATGCCTAACAACTAACAACTTTTTTCTATAGTTTCAAGCTCAACAATTTCAGAAAAGACAAAATAAAGGACCATTTATTTATTGTTTCAACTTTCAACTGATGTAGCTAACTCGTTTTTCCAGTTTTGGCATCAATCAGCCTCGTTTCATAATCACAATTCAATCATTTGACAATACAGGAGTAGAAAATATATTATGGTCGAAAGTTAGATTTGCAACAAGTAATAAATGAAATGGTTATCAGGCTATATACTCTACTTTCCAGGGTAGGGAAAGCTCAAAATACATGGTAGTCCAAGAATTCAAATGAGAATTGGATTGCTAAATAATCCAAAATTAATGAACAACTATAGGAAATTATTCCATCAAGGTAAGAAAATTTATGATCAAGTAAATCAAATATCTAGTTGTGTGTTCTTAAAAAAAGAAAAACTTAAAATAAACAACACCAAGAACCTACATTTGTGTTGAGAATTCAATTATTTAACCTATTCCTGTGCTACATGATAGCAAGCTTTGAAAAATTTCATGTAAACGTAAATGGGGGAAGATACCAATTTCAATGGAACAAAATGGAAAGTGAAATTTTAAACATAAAAATAAAAAGACTGAAGAGGTCCCTTGGAAAACTCTTCAGCCAATCTTGAGAAATATCTGAATCTCCTCCCCATCCTCCCCCGCCTTTGAAAGGAAAATATGATAGAAAAAGAAGGGGGAAAGTACCAATTAGCAAGAATCCTGTGTCAATGGATGAATCAATGTTGTGCAACTAATTGGATTTGAAGCATCAAAATGTGTGAGACCTTCACAATTCAATTCTTCAACATCCCATCACAGCACAATTATAGACAAAGTTGCCAGAGCGTTTTCTGGCGAGTAGATTCCACTGTGGAGGTCCTTCACTTGGCACCCATGAATTGAGTTCAATGAAACCCTCACCATGAGTCCTAGGTCCACCAATAACAATCAGCCTATTTCCACATGCCCTGAATGCAAGACCCCAACCGTTCATCGACACTGCTCGCTCCGGCAGTCTCCCAATGTTAAGCCACACTCTCCTCTCCTTGTCGTATTTCTTGACCTCCATGTCAGCGTAATCAGCAGCATATAATTCATTATTTACAACTGCAACCAGCGGTGGCGCCTCGGCCGTCGCAGGCATCTCAGATCCCCTGGCGCTGCGTCCAGGGGACATGTTAGGAATTTCTGTCCATGTTCTAGTTTGTAAATTGTACTCCTCACCACATGTGAGAAGCTTGGATTCACTTCCACCAATTCCCCCAATAACATAAAACTTTCCATCCATAAACACCCCAGAGCACATCTTCCTGGGCTTGTTCATGCTAGGGAGTACTTCCCATGTTTGATTCTCAGAATTGTACAGTTCGGCCGAGTCAAGGATATGACCGTCCGAATCACACCCACCAGCCAAAATTGCAATCTCCCCAAGGCTGGCAGATCCAAACAAGCATCTTGGAGCATTCATCCTCATTCCAGATGTCCATGAGTTAGTCAAAAGACTGTATCTGTAAATGACATGGGACCTCATCTCCCTGCCAAACACAAGAAGCTCAGTTCCTACGGCTAAAGACTCCTTATCCGAACACATGAAGCATTCGTTAGAAGCCATCCTTGGTAAATGCATCCACCTTTCCCGAATTGGATCATAGGCCTCCCATTCAAGGAGGGCACAGGAGAAATAAATCCAGTGTTCTGTGATGCCATTAAGCCTCCTCCACCTGTATAGCTCACCACTTCGGATTGTGTTGCGAAAGCTCCTATTCAGCGACGCCAGAGAGCCGTAATCCGACCTGGAACACCGGCTCAGACACGCAATTGAGCTGTCCCGGTTCATTCGAGGCAAAAGAGAACCCGAATCTGACGAATCCCCACCATGCTGCTCTTCCGGCTCATCAGGTTGTTGCTGCTGCTGGTCACCAGCATCCAACAATTCCCCTACAACCTGCTGCTCCTCCATCTGCGGTTCATCGGGCTGCTGAACCGATGAATCCCCGGCCTGATCCTCCTGCTGTTTATCAGATTGAAGGTCACCAGACACCATCGAATCCTCGGCTTGATTCTGTTCTCGTTCATCCAACATCTGAGCAGAAAAGGCCTCATCCTTCTCAACTCTTCCCCAATTACTCAATGACTCACAATCCTTCCTCTGATCCTGATCCATTTGTGGAACAACAGAGTCATCAGCATGACATGATTGCTGTTGTTGATACAAGAATCGCGCGGTCTCGCCGTCATGGTGACGAGAATCAACTCTCCTGTTGGCCTTCCTTGGCTGGGGTTCTTCCTCACCATCGGGGTCCAAAGGGCGCTTGCCATTCTTTATGTCCAAATCCAAATCCAAATCCAAATCCAAATCCAAATCCAAATCCAAATCCGGCAGGTATGTCATGAAAGACCACTTGTTATCTGCCTGGCAAGAGCTGGGAAACAACCTCGGAACCACGCAGGAACGACCGTCCAACATAGTCTCCACGACAAGAGATAAAAAAACAGCAGCAGCAACAACAACAACTACTCAATCTTCAATCAAGTACTTTCTTCTGTCTTTGCCGGGAGGAACAAGTTCAACACCACAGAGATGAGCCTCTCTGCGCCCTAACAAGTCCCCAGAACCACCTTCAGAATCAAGAGCCTGTTCAAAACGGAATCAAACAAAATCAAACTCAATTCACAGGTTCCATACTTTATTCTCTCTCTATAACCCTTCTTCTCATGAAACACTTCAAAATTTAAATGCCCAGAATCGTCAACACCGCAAAAAACACGATTACAGATCGGAATCCATTCAAAGTCACATTTTTTTTTTCATGAATCCCCAGATTAGAGAAAAGGGGGCAATGTCCCCTGCGGAACCAAATTCACAGAGAGAGATCCCAATAAGCAACACATCATAGACAACAGAGAACTTCAATTGAACAAAAACCGGTTCAGGGAATCAAATGCCACACAAGTAATGAATCCAACATTCCAATGCACAAACCACAAAAACTCAATTTTGAACAAAACTTGTTAATCACCACCCCCTAGATTCAATATAAGGCGAAATTTAGTTAGATCTCTATAAATCTACAATATTCGCCAAGACCCAACAACATAGCAAGGAAACCAGTTCATTCATATCAGAGATAGAAAATCATAGAGAGAGGGAGAAAAGAGAGAGAAAAACAATGATGCAAGAAACTTACTAGTTGGATAAGAAGCAAAATCGAAAAAACAACAAAAGTACTTGATGGGCAGTTTATGCAAATTGAATAACAATCTTCAACTCCTTCTTTCTCTATCTCAAACTCACTGTTTTGCATGTACCCTCACACACGCACGCACACAACAAAGAAGAGAGAGAGAGAGAGAGAGAACCCACTTTCTCTCTCTACCCAGCTCTAAGCAGGTATTGGTTTTGGTTGGTCCTTTCTTGGGTTAGTCTCTGCAAATCAGATGAAGGAAGGTTTTGGAGCAAAAACTCGGAGAGGACCCCTCACATGGCCTTATCTCCCTTAAATCATATCTTAATTTATAATTAAATAATTCCTTAATTTCATTTCTTTCCTATCACCATTAATTAACTAATTCATTAATTAATTAAACATCGTTCTCTGTGTGTCTTTTTTTTTTTTTTTTTTTTTTTTTTTGTGGTTTTTTTGTGGTTGGGGAATTTA